GGTTGCAGACATGATTGTTGTTTGGTGGGCCCGGATTGGATTCGAACCCACCACCTTAGGTGTATGTGGCTGGCGCCTTAGCCACTTGAGCCACAGGCTCTGAGCCTATTCATCTTTTTAAATTAAGACACCTGACTTTTAATACTAGTGAGCCCCAATATGGCACCACAATATTTTAACGTCTAAGTTTCAGACATAAATTCACTCTAAAAAGTATCTAACTCCTACTTTTTTTTTTTTGCAATTTTTGGCTAGGGCTGGGTTTGAACCCACCACCTCTGGCATATGGGGCCAGTGCCCTACTCACTGAGCCACAGGCACCACCTCCCACTTTCTTTTAAACTACTAAACAAGCTGTTTGTCTTGCAAATTCCATTCCTTCCTTTCTCTGGACAGCTAATTAGATGTTCGTGTTCTTAGAATTGGCTGTTGAAATCAGGCACAGAAAATGAATAGGGAGTAACTTTCCCTGAAGATGTCTTACCTCTTTGTGGTTCTCTGCATGTGCATTGGTCCCACAGCCTTGTCTCTTGGATTCTGTACCCATGTACCCGTAGTACCCTTCAGCCCTCGGCTTCCAGGAGACCCAGACTCAGAGTTCATATGGAGAAACTCATTCAGTTTGTATTTGTTTCCTACATTCTTAAAAACTATTTGAGGCACTGCACCATAGTTAGTTCCTTACTGAACATTTAATGAAATACAGTGGTACTGGTGAGAATTGCAAATGTATAAAAATTATAGTAAAACATAATCTCTGTTTAGGGTTTATGGTTGGGTAGGGATAATTAATTAAATAGAAAAAAATGGCCCTATTACAAGTGGAAAAGACCCTTGCCATGCGAGTATGCTCACATGCTGTATCCTTCCATATGCTGTGTCTAAAAGGAGCTGGTGGTATTCTGAGTAAGACAGAACTTTCTACCAACTTCTCTGAAAGTTACAGGGCAAGTCAATGGGAAAATGATTTGATACTACTACCTTTGTAGTAAAGATGCATCTTTTGAGTAAACCTAGCTATGCATATATCTAAATATGTTAAACACTAAATATGTTATCTCATAGCATGTTTTGAGAATTAAGAGGTGTAGAGGATGGTAACACAACAAATATGTAAAGTCCCATTCAACTCCATCTTTGCAGTGGTGTTACAGTTTTTCATGTATGTGTTTTCCTGTGCTTGTTAACAGGTAGCTACATCACAAGTGATTGATTGCTGAGAGTAGTCCTGCCTTAAAAGACAAGTCTTTGAAAGCAAGTTTAAACTAGCCTTTAGGCAGCTATTGAAATTATTAGGAAACAGGGTATTTGTGGGTTCTGGAAAATTCTCCATGGAAAGGAATTACTATGATTTAGAGGAAGGCCATGACAGTTACTTTACTTAAAAAGAAATACAGAGTTCCGGACTTGCTGCCATCTGTGGAAAGGAGCAGCAAGGGAGGAGAAGAGCCACCATCACTTTTCCTAGGTGGTAAAGCATGAAGACTGCCCTAGCTGTTCACACCCGCAGTAGGATCCTAGAGGAGAAACTGGAATGTGTGTGTGTGTGTGTTTTTTTTTTCTGAGACAGAGCCTCAAGCTGTCCCCCTGGGTAGAGTGCTGTGGCATCACAGCTCACAGCAACCTCCAACTCTTGTGCTTAAGTGATTCTCTTGCCTCAGCCTCCAAAGTAGCTGGGACTACACACACCTGCCATAATGCTCAGCTATTTTTTTGTTGCAGTTGTCATTACTGTTTAGCTGGCCTGGGCCAGGTTTGAACCCCTGCTCCTCGGTGTATGTGGCTGGCACTGTAACCACTGTGCTTTGGGCGTGGAACCAACATGATTAAATTTTTAAAACGACACATTTGCTGTGAGATATATATGTAGAAGGGTATGTCAGACATATATGAAAGAGTAATTACAAATATTTCGGAGTGTTTGCATTCTTACAATTTATAATGAATATTAATATATTTTTCTATTAAGATTACATAGATAGAAAATATCTACCCTAATCTCTGATCTCTCACATGAATTCATATGATTTAACAAGCAAAACCAACTAAAAAATGCATTTTTACTTCCCCACCCAGGTAGTAAATTTTATCCATGTTTCGGGAAAGTAGAAATCAAATAACAAACACATAAGAAACTGCAGTGAAATAAATAACTCAAGTTAGGAAGTAGAATATCTACTGGAGACTAGAGGGGTAAAGAGCACAGTACAGGGGCCTTTTGTTTAGTAGATGTTCAATTAAATTGGTTGACGATTAATCCAGGGGTGTGTTTAATACCTGTAGGATTTTCTTTTCTCAACAATGTGCCATACTCTCTCTCTAAGTTGTACTTTCCCAAATTCTGGGGCTCTTAATTTGCCATTAGAACTGGATACTGTGGAGAGTGCAAGCATTTTATAAACTTAATTCCTGGCTTCTAGGTCCTTACCAGGTGATTAATTAGATCAGGCACACATATTGTTTAGTTTTAGATTGTAATCTCCTAAAAACAAGAATAGATTTTTCACAAATTTATAGGAGTGTTCTGAAAGTAAGGTGTAATTACCAGAAGGAGATTGCCTGACTTCAGGTCAGCCTTGCCTATTCCCAGTGAAGACCTCCAGGATCACCCACGGGCTGTGTTACATTGTTCAGGGTGGAAATATCATAGTGACAAGCTGAGAGTATTTACTTTCATCTGCTATGGAAAGACTTCATATGAATAGTTGCTTTTTAAAAAAAATTCATCTGAGTTTTAAAAATTAAGATGATATATACATAATGTTTACCATATTTTATATGCATGATTCAATGGCATTAAAGTACATTCAGGTTGTTTTGTAATCATCTGCTTTCAGAACTCTTCATCTTGCAAAACTGAAACTCTGTACCGATTAAACACTAACTGGTCAGCCTCCCCTACTCCCTCTCCCAGCATTTGCCCTTCCTAGTGTCTGTGGGTCAGAGTTTTCTACCTCTTTCCTATCAGTGTTGTCATACAGTATTTGTCTTTTTGTGACCGGCTGGTTTGGTTTAACATGATGTTCTTGAAGTTCATCCATATGGGAGCATGTATTAGAATTTCCTTCCTTTTTGAGGCTGATTAACATCAGCACGTGTATTCCATGGTGTGTGCATATGTACAGCATACCCACACCATCTCTTGTTTACCCATTCATGGATATTTGGGGTGTTTCCCCCTTTTGACTATTGTGAATCATGCTGCTGTGAACAGGTCAGGTTTCTCCTTTCAATTGGATAGGTTTTAAATCATTTTATACTAACCCACCTTACTAGTATTGATTTGACACTCTTCTTATCATCCCTCAGAAAGTGGCTAATCAGTTACCATGCTCGTGTTCTCATGCTCATGAGAAAATAAGACAGAAAGAAAAGGTTTGGCGCCTGTGATTCAAGTGGCTAAGGCGCTAGCCACATACACCTAAGGTGGCGGGTTCAAATCCAGCCCAGGCCTGCCAAACAACAATGACAGCTGCAACCAAAAAATAGCTGGGTGTTGTGGCGGGTGCCTTTAGTCCCAGGTACTTGGGAGGCTGAGGCAGGAGATTCACTTGAGCCCAGGAGTTGGAGGTTGCTGTGAGCTTTGATGCCACAGCACTCTACCCAGAGGGACAGCTTGAGGCTCTATCTCAAAAAGAAAAAAAGACAGAAAGGAATTAAAGTGTCTAACATAACCCATTTCTATTGATGGTAGCCCTAAAATTGGCACCAGTCTTTTAGTAATTAGGATGCTATGATTGTTCTGTTTTGTTGTTAGATTTTTATATCTGTTATACATTTTGAATCATTATTAAGTAGCATGTCATTTTTTCTTATCTGCCATATCTGTGTAGCATATATTGTGCTTTATAATTTTAAAAATATTTTTAAAGTTTGGTTAAAAACCAGAACAGTATATTTAATGAAATAACGTTTTGTTTTTACTATGGAAATTTACACTGTATACCTTATGATAACAGTTATTTAAGAGTTACATTTTAGAGATTTAGTATGTATCAGTGGTTTTCAAACTTTTTGCTCTCTGGGCCCCTTTATACTTATAAAAATTATTGAGACTCAGACAGCTTATGTGAGGTATATTATATTGATATTTAGAATATTAGAAATTAAAATTTGAAAGTTAAAAATATATTTCCTAATTCACTAAAAAAATAAACCCATTAAATGTTACACATTTTTGGAATATAACTATTTTTTTCTAAAACTGCAAAATTTACTAAGGAGAGGTGGGGCAGGGCCCTCTTTTTCAGCTAGTTCTAGGGGACTAAGAAATCACTCCCTAGTTTCAGAAAGGTTGCTCTTAGTGCCCTCTGGAAGGGAAGTGAGAAGAAGTTGGGGACAGAGTCTTCTGTTGTTTATAGAGGATGTGATGCAGCCTGGGCTTTGGGCAGTAGGAAGGAATACTACTTGTAGGATGGATTTGCTAGAGATAGATTCTCTCGGACTGTATTGCTAGTAGATGACCTAAAAGCTGAGAAAACAGCTGTGCTTTGTTCTGAGACCTGCCAGTAACCAGGGATAGAGGGGTTTTGAAGGTCCTTACTGCTTTGTGTCATCAGGGAACATCTTTTACTTATAGTGAAAAAAATCAATCCAGCTAACTTGCCTGAGCGTCTTCAGGGTTCTTTTTGAGGACTCTGCTTAAACAATGACCCTGGTTTTCAGAATGGGTAAAATTACACACTCAAAACCCAGAATCTTAGAAAGACACCATGGTGCAAAAGAATGGCAGTAATGATTTCATTCAGATATGCCCAGATACTGACAGATTTAATACAGCAGCACAGGGCAGTCACACCCCTTATGTTGTGTTGTCTTGAAGTTGATAGGGCATATCCTTATGCTACTGAATTTTACCAATCAATGCAGTCAGTAACTCCTTTTGATAGATGTTAAATGTAAAGATGGGTCTCCAATTGCAATTTTGGCAATTGTTAGAACCTTTATTCTTCAGTATTTTAAATTTCTTTTATTTTATATCCTTTTTTTGTTTTGCAGATTTGTAAGACTCCAGGGCCTTCTAGCCGTGAATAATCTGATGGTTCCTGAAGTGACTAGGCAAACAGATGCTTCTCGTGCCAGTTGAAGAATGTGTGTCTATGTATATTTAAAACCTTCTTTCTATATATACACATTTACACGGGAAGACAGGCTCACTCTTGTGTACTCTTGAGAGTTTTACAACTGATGAAAATTAATTTAAGAATCAAATGGAGCAACTTGACACCACTGGGCTCAGGAGCCTGGGGAGAAAAATACATCACTAGTGGCCAGTTTTCCATATGGTCTTCACGGGTAAAGAAAGTCTGCAAAAAGAAGAAAAAAAAATTTGCACAGATTAAGTCTCAAAAATACCTCTCCAGTTTAAAGAAGGAACGAAGTGAGAAGGTGACCAAGAAAGAATTGTGATTTCAAACGTTGCGGTGGACTGTGCAGTGCTTCTGCGCCTTGATTTTCAGTTGGTTTGGTGATTTGGATGGACTTGAAAAGTTTGGACTAAAAAGTAACTCTTAACTGTGGTTATGGCTGGAGGAAAGCAAGTTCAGGTGTGATGGACAAGTTTGAACAACGAACTGATTCCTTTGCCTGCTTTAGTTAACTGCATTTGAGAAATTTTAATTTATTATTTTCCATTTTCTTTCCTGCATCTATAGGCTCGCGTCTTAAAATAGCAATTGAAACGAATAATTATAAAAACAAGTATCAAGGGAAGTCCAAGCAAGCTTCCTTTTCCCTGGACTAAGGTTGGTGTTTGGAGATGGTCTTTGAGTATGCATACACGAAAGCACCCAGAAACGTTTGATCACTCTCCAGGGAAACAGTGAGGGGAGAATCTGACTCTGGCTTGTGTTTTTGTTTTAAGGGATTATCTTCCCTGTTAAGTCCAAGAAGACTTACATATGAGGGAAAGATTATTTGATGGACTGAATTCTGAGATTAGTTTTTTTTTTCATCAAAATGGAAAAATACTGATCTTTAGGACAGAAAAGGGAAGAAGTAACTGGAGTAGTCAGAAAAGAGACAGACGGAAGCAGCAGAAACTTGCAGCCTGGCTGTTCTGTCAGCAAGAGGACTTAAGACTCACGAAGGCAAATGCTGGGACCACTTTAACAGCGTTAAAGCACCCTGCCTCTGTTCAGTGAAGGGGCTTTCTTTCTAGTCTCTATGGCACTAGGGGGTGCTCTGGCTGGCGGAGGAGTAGTCCGATGGAGCCCTGCGTTCCCTGGGGACACAGGGCCCAGCTTTGAGGTGGGGAGTTTCTGGTTTTGAACAGCAGAGAAAGTCTTTTTTTCTTCTTAAAATTTGGACTGTTGTCTGCACAAACTCTGATCTGTTTTGCACGGTTTGTGTGCCTTTTTTTCCCTTTATGCAATCTTTTCAGCTTTAGCAGCAGAAATTTGTCTAGTTCAAAAAACATATTAGAAGATGGCTTCAGAAGGAAGATGATCCTGTGTATTTTGTCTCTGCATCTGAACTTTTGGGGAGGAAATTCCAGCTAGAGGGATTCTTAAAGCCTTAAGTTACTTGAAATCTATGTACTTGCAACTCTTTGTCTCTGGAATAATATTACACTAAACTGGAATCTCAGGCTGAATAAGAATAACCAAGTTGAGTAAAAAGAAGAAAACTGTTTCTTGATCACCACTTAGTAACGATGCTCTTTCTGCAAAGGATCAGCACGTTCTTCCTCTAAGGACTTGAAAATAAAAATGGACCCCATGTTTTTTTAAGCATTACCTTTTCTTAGCAGACTGCCATCATCTTTTATAGAGGAATTTTTTCACTATGCATTTGGTGGATCTTTATAAAACACTGACCTTCTAATTAGATTTAGGTCAGCTTAATTAAAGGGGGAAAAAAAGCAACACAAGCCAACCACAAAAATAAACCAATGAAAGAAATTGGTTTAAATTTTTCAACATTGAGCATTACTTTTTAAGTAAAACAGTTCATTTAAAAAAGTATGTATGCTGCAGTGGAGCATGGGCCTGTGCTTTGCAGCGATTCTAACATTCTCTGCCTATCGTGGAAGGGGCGTGTCCCCAAGAGCGAGAAGGAGAAGCCAGTGTGCAGGAGGCGCTACTATGAGGAAGGCTGGCTGGCCACAGGCAATGGGCGTGGAGTGGTTGGGGTGACTTTCACCTCCAGCCACTGCCGCAGGGACAGGAGTACTCCGCAGAGGATAAACTTCAACCTGAGGGGCCACAATAGTGAGGTGAGCTGTGGATTTGTTTCACTTTGTCTGGCCATTTCGGGTGGTCTTTTTAAACCTCCCATTGACTTGAAACTTCTTTGCTTCAGTTTCTTAGACTTGTTGCTAAATGAGACTTCTCATGCCATGAGTTCTGTTGTCTTGTCTGCTCCAGTGAAAAGATGCTAAGGTGGGCATGGTTCAGAGAAGACCTGTCCCTTGCTGAATGGGTCATTGTCTCCAGCCCCCCTGTTCTCCTCTCCCTGCTTGAGAGTTACCACTGCCTCGCTGGATGGGTCAAGGCAGCAGGAGGACCCCCAGCAGTAGGGAGGCCAGGGTGCTTTCTGATTAGAGTGGGGAGTTGGAATAGATGATCCTAACTAACCTGTCATGCTCCAGATCTCCATGGCAGAGTTATCCCCTGTCCATGTAAGAATGACATGGGCAAAAAATGAAAATGGTACCACCTTCACCCTGGACAATTAACATCTGCATTTCTTTGGTGATGGTTTAACACCTGCTTTGTATTTCTTATACTTGGAATTGAAAGAAGTCATTAATTGGACAAGATGTTTTTTACATCTGTGGGGTATATGATATTGAGATTATTATGCTGTATATTTGTACATAGAGATTTCTCTGGGCTTCTAAAACATGAACAGTGGCATTGTCTGTGAAATTCAACATTTATTAAGCCAGGCTTAAGTGTTAGGTACTGTATTTAAAAGAAGGGCACAATTGATAATTTTTTGCAAAAGTCTAGCTATATAGCACCTTGACAATATTCATGTTTTGGTGTTTACTAGCTTATTTAAGTGCTTTTTTAGGAGGAGTCCATGACTTTTTCAGGCATCTTAAAATGTTGTTAGATGGTAATTGAATAGTTACATTAAGAATATTTCTGAAATATATGTCTTAGTTCATTTGGGTTATTATGAGAAAATACCATGAACTGGGAGACTAATAAACAACAGAAATTTATTTCTCACAGTTTTGGAGCCTGAGAGTCTGAGATTAGGGTGCCAGTGTGGTAGGGTTCTGGTGAGGGCCATCTTCTAGTTGCTCATTGATGAGAGGGTGACAGCCTTTTGGGGGTCACTGTTATGAGGGCACTAATCCTGTTCATGGGGGCACTGCCTGTTATTAGTTTATTCTTTTTGATTGATATTAGTTTTCCGTTGAGGCAAGATGCCACAGTTTGTCCATTCGCTTGTTGATGGGCATTTGTATTGTTTCCAGTTGTTGGCTATCATGACCACTGCTGCTGTGGACACTTGTATGCAGTTCTTTGTGTGGACATGTGTTAAGATTGAATTTATAGTCTTTGAGTCAGAGTGTTGCCACGCATTTAAAAGAATTAGCAGAAATGGCTGAACAGTTTTCCAAAGTGGTGGTTCCATTTTATACACCTTCATCAGTTTATGAAAATGTCACTTACAAAGCTAAGAGTATACTGAGATTATTTTTTCCAGCCTCTGTTTAATTTACTAAGAAACTTCTTTGGAATTTGACTTTTTCCATTTAAAAGAAACAGTTGTTTATGCAAAGGATTGTTTTACAAGTTCTTAATACAGTGGCTATATACATGCATGCACACCTATTCACATATGTGTATATATCTATACTTAAGTGAATACTGTCTTAAAATATATATTTTTTATTGGTATGTAACAAATTACCAAACACTTGGTGGCTTAAACATCACCCATTTCTGGTCTCACAGTTCTGTTCCTGGTATGGTGTGTCTGGGGCCTCTGCTCAAGGTTGGGAAACATGATGTCAGCTGACCCTGAGCTCCTCTGAGGCTCAGGCCCTCTTCCAAGCTCATTCAGGTTGTTGGCAGAGATCAGTTCCTTACAGTTGCAGGACTGAGGCCCTCAGGTCCTAGAGGCTCTCAACACCCTCTTACCGTGTGGTCCTCTCCATATTGTATGGTTTGTGTCTTCAAGGCCTACAGGAGAGCATCTGCTGTAGCTTCAAAATTTTTCTGACTTTCCATCTCTGAAAAAGGGCTTTGCTGAGCAGTCTGTGCCTACCTCCACCCCAAGGGAGGGGATTACATGGGGAGTACACACCAGGGGATGTGATTGTAGAATTCTTCCTACCACAAAAGAGAGGATTATAACAGACAGTGGGCTGGCTGTTTCACTATTGAAAGTATTTTGTGTAATTTTTCTGCTTGTCATTTTTACTTTTAGTTAATTTCTATTCTTTATATTAGAATGTGTCCTACTTATTGAGTGCCTGACAAGTAGAGTGACCAACTGTCCTGATTTCCCGGGATGTAGGACAGTCAGTGAAGCTAGGGAAGTCCCTGGCACACTGCACCTGTTGGTCGTTCTGCTTCACAGTACCCAGTGGGGTATTAGGTGTCTTCCAACCTCAATTACTGATGGCTCACAGCAGACTCATGGGATGGTATCAATATTATCATTTTACAGGTAAGAAAACTCAGGCTTACAGATGTTAAACAATTTGTCTAAATTCATGGAATTTGTGTAGAGAAGAGCTGGAACTTGATTCTGGAGTGTTACCATTTTCCTTCAGCTTGTCTTTATGTTCTTAAAACTTGTGTTAAATGCAAGTCCACGATCCCTTATCTATAACTGTGAGATCTGAGAGCGCTCAAAACAGAAAGTTGGCTTGGCGCCTGTGGCTCCAGTAGCTAAGGCGTTAGCCACATACACCTAAGGTGGCGGGTTCGAAGCCAGCCCGGGCCTGCCAAACAACAATGA